AATTTTTTTACATATGCCCTCTGCATTCTCTTCCCATTTTTCTGTTAGTCATACATAATAGTCCCACAGTATTTGAGCATTTGCCTATTTAAATACTATACTCTCTGCCTCTTAGCCCTCATTTTGTCTCACGTCTACAGGTAACTATACATAAACACTCACAAGGCCTTTCTGTCAGTGTTTCTTTAGTCATTCTGATTGTCTAAGTCAGTTATGCTGGATACAAAAATCCTTGGCTCCTACTTTCTTTCAAATTCTTAAATATATTAATTTTCTTCTAATGTAACAATTTGCTCTTGAAAACTAGGATACTCTCTTTTTCTAGATACCTCAAAAGTTCTTTTTCTTTGAAATACAGCAGTTTTACTAGAATGTTTTGGTATTTGTCGTTCTAGGCTGATAGTCTCTTTTTTCCTTTTATTTCATGAACACTTTCTTGACTTACTTAGCATTTAGTATTTATTCTCTTCCCCTGCCTTGATTTTCTTCTTCAGATACTCTTACTGTCGTATGTATTCTTTGCCTACCTCCAATATTTCTAATTTTCTCTTGAATATCACTTCTGGGAGTCATACGGGCTAGGTTGTTGCAACCTCTTCAGTCTTTGTTGGCAGCCTCTTGCACTCAGCTGGTACTGAGAGGTCAAAACTCCTTCTCATTTCAAACTGCTGCTCTCAAATTGGCCTGTTGTGCTTTCTGGCAAATTCTTGTTGCCTATTTTGGGCTTATCCTGTTCTGAGTTCCATTAAATGCAGCCTCATTGAATATTTCTTTTTCTGCCCACGCAGACACTACTGTGTAGGCCTTTTGGCTATGGGTAGTTTGTATTCTGGCATTTGTTGAAGGTACTTTGTCATCTAGTTTTGTTGTAAATGTTGTCAAGGAGTTCAGGTTTTGCTGCCTAGTCGTTCCATCTGTTTTTATGTGGGGATTTGGAGAGTTTGAGAACTATGCTGCTATTGCTATGTTCCCAGACTTCCCCATAACTGGGGTGTGTGTGTGTTTACAGTCTGTGTGAATCAGAATTTAAATAAATTGATGTCTTGTATAATCTGTAGATTCCCCCTCTGTATGTCTCTCACTCTTTCGCTCCTCTTTTCCCTTACAAATTATTAGTTGAAGAAACTACGTTATATGTCCTGAAGAGAAATCCTAAAGATTTTGCGTATCGCATCTCTCTTGTATAGTTTAACGTGTTCTTCTGTCCTCGATATTTCCTTCAAACTGATAGGTGGATCTGGAGTCTTGAACAGATTCAGCTTCCATCATAGGTTGTACATTCAAAACACAAACAAAAAACCGGATGGGCCAACTCAAGGAAAGCAAACAATACAGAAACAGAAACACTCCATTTGCGAGGTTGACATTGAAGAATAGGCAAATCCAGAGAAACAGAAAATAGAATAGTGGTTGCCAGGTACTGGGGGCAGGGAGGCTGAGGAATGACTGCTCATGGGTACAGAATTTCCTTTTAGGATGAAGAGATTAGGTTGTGGTGATGGTTGCACAACTTTTGAAAACCACTGAATTGTATACTTTAAAAAGATGAAGCTCGGGCTTCCCTGATGGCGCAGTGGTTGAGAGTCTGCCTGCCAATGCAGGGGATACAGGTTCGAGCCCTGGTCTGGGAAGATCCCACATGCCACGGAGCAACTGGGCCCGTGAGCCACAACTACTGAGCCTGCGCGTCTGGAGCCTGTGCTCCGCAACAGGAGAGGCCGCGACAGTGAGAGGCCCGCGCACCGCGATGAAGAGTGGCCCCCACTTGCCACAACTAGAGAAAGCCCTCGCACAGAAACGAAGACCCAACACACCCAAAATTAAATAAATAAATTTATAAAAAAAAAAAAAAAAAAAGATGAAGCTCATGGTACGTGAATTGTATTTCAGTAAAGCTGTCATCTTGTGAAAGGAAGTTAGATTGGAAAAGGAAGAGGGTTACCTGATTCTCTGAGACCGGTAGGGAGGAGAGGTGGCATGGGTACACGTGCTGATAAGTTTGCAAGCGACCTCTCCCACTAGCTGTAGACTAATATATTCAACGATCTGTTGAATACACCCATTTGGATGTTCTATAGGCATGTCAAACTCAACATCATTGCTGCCCGATAGAAGGTAATACAAGCCACATGTAAGTTTTAATTTTCCAGCAGCCAATTTAAAAAGTAGATGGAAGTATGTGAAATTGATTTTATATCTTTTATTGAATCTAGAATATCTAAAATAATATATTTCGGCATGTAGTTAACATAAAAATTATACATGAGCTCTTTTACCTTCGTTTCTCATGAAGGTCTTTGAAATGCAGTGTGTATTTCACACTGACAGCATACCCAATTCAGACTTGGCACGTTCCAGGTGTTCAATAGCCACATGTGGGTTACACCTAGAGTACTGGGCAGTGCAAATGAGAAGGTTTAAAATGGAATTCATGAATTCATTCCTGTCTCCTGGATCATTGTCCTATGTCTTCTTCCTTACAATCCACGTCGATCAATCATTTAGTTCCACTGATTTTTTTTTTTTTTTTTTTTTTTTGGCTGCGTTGGGTCTTCGTTGCTGCACGCAGGCTTTCTCTAGTTGCGGCGAGCAGGGGACTACTCTTTGTTGCGGTGCATGGGCTTCTCATTGCGGTGGCTTCTCTTATTGTGGAGCACGGGCTCTAGGCACGTGGGCTTTAGTAGTTGTGCCTCCCGGGCTCAGTAGTTGCAGAGTGCGGGCTCTAGGGCGTGCGGGCTTCGGTAGTTTGGCGTGCAGGCTCAGTAGTTGTGGCTCACGGGCTTAGTTGCTCCGCAGCATGTGGGATCTTCCCGGACCAGGGATCGAACCTGTGTCTCCTGCGTTGGCAGGCAGATTCTTAACCACTGCACCACCAGGGAAGTCCTCCACTGATTTTTACCTTTAACATTTTTGCAAATCCATCTCTTCTTATCCAGTCCTACCAGTTTCCTGAAATTCAGCATTGCTTGCGTGGGCTATTACAGTAGCCTCTCAACAGGTCTTCCTGTTTCTGTTTCTGCCCTTCGTAAGTTACTCTGCTGCCAGAATCTCTGCCTCACTGATAATTTCACCAGGCCACTCCCCTACTCAATACCATTTAGTGGCATCCCAGTATTTCAATAGTAGTCTGTGACCACAATGAGTACTACACAGATGATTGGGAGTGTGGGAAAAAGAAAGTAGACATCTGTCCTTATTCTTTTGAAAAGTACATTTAGCATCTATTTCTTAATGGACATAACACAGTAGAACATGTAAATAACTTATAAACGAATATAATTATACTGATGGAATATGATAAAGTCTAGGTTTCTTTGCATGGCAAACTCTCCATTTCCCCTTTCCCTCCAGCCTCTGGCAGGCACCATTCTACTCTCCGCTTCTGTGAGTTTGACTATTTCAGATACCTCATGTAAGTGGAATCATGCAATGTTTGTCCTTCTGTGACTGGCTTACTTCACTTAGCATGATGTCCTCCAGGTTCATCCATGTTGTCATATATGGCAGGGGTTTATTCTTTTTTAATACTGAATAATATTCCTGTGTGTGTGTGTGTGTGTGTGTGTGTGTGTGTACACACACACACACACACACACACACACACACACACACACCCCACATTTTCTTTATCCATTCATCCATCTGTGAGTTTTCCATATCTTGACTATTGTGAATAAAGCTGCAATGAACATGACTGATACATCTCTTTGAGATCCTGATTTCAATTCTTTTGGGTATATACCCAGAAATGGGATTGCTGGATTATATGGTAATTCCATTTTTAATTTTTTGAGGAACCTCCATATTTTTTTTCCATAGCAGCTGTACCATTTTTACATTCCCACCAACAATGTGCAAGGGTTCTGTTGTAATTTCTCTACACTCTCACCAACACTTGTTATCTTTTTGTTTTTTTAATAATAGTCATCCTGACAGGTGTGAGATCATACGTCATTATGGTTTTGATTTGTGTTTCTCTTACGATTAGTGATGTTGAACACCTTTTCATATACCTGTTGGCCATTTGTATGTTTTCTTTGGAGAAATGTCTATTCATGTCCTTTGCCCATTTTTTAATTGTGTTATTTGTTTTGCTATTGAGTTGTAGATGTTTCTTAGATATTTTAGATATTAACCACTTACCACATAAAGGGTTTGCAAATATTTTCTCCCATTCCATGGATTTCCTTTTCATTTTGTTGATTGTTTTCACTGATTCTTACTCCAGGAAGACGTCCTCCAGTTAGACTAGATATCCCTCTTCCCAATTCCCATAGAACATTGTGAATAACTCTGACTTGGCACTTACGTTATTATATTAGAATTATCTGTCATTATATGTCTGTCTTGTCTCTCTTCCGGCCTCAAGACTCATTGAGGGAAAGGATTTTGCCTCAGTTATCATTTTTGTACTTCTAGTCCCTAATACAGTTTCTATTATATAATTGGTACTCAGATATTAGTAGAACTAAACTGCACCCCTGAAATTTTAATGATTAAGTTATCAAAGGTTAGACCTAGGCATTAACCTAAGATAACCGAAGATGTAGATTCGTTATTAATACCAATGACCTCTGATTGAAAATTGAGTAGATAACTGAACCTGAGAATAGTGGTACTTTTAATTTTAGGTGCGAAAAAAAAAAAGCCGTAGCATACATAGAATACAAAATGATAAGTATTGAGAATATAAACTCTGCAAGTGCAGTGTTTTTGTCTGTTGTTTTCACGGATCTTCTCCCAGTGTGTAAAACAGTACCTGGCACATCATAGTAAGTAACTGGTCAGTAAATATTTATTGAATAAATGAGTGGGCATAGAAAAGCACTGTAGCTTTACACTTTATTAGGTTTTTAAGGCAAAAGCTAAGTTTAAAACATTTCCTTATCTCTAATTCAATGTAAAATTTATCAAATTCCTGTCTCCTCACATTATTTTATGTTTTGTAAAGGAAAATCTCTAATAAGTATAACGGAGTATAATTTTTTTTTCTCTTTTAGCAAACGAAGCAAAAAAGGAGATAAAAATGGAAAGGGCTTGAGACATTTTTCAATGAAAGTGTGTGAGAAAGTTCAGCGGAAAGGTACAACATCATATAATGAAGTAGCTGATGAGCTGGTGTCCGAGTTCACCAATTCAAATAACCATTTGGCAGCTGATTCGGTAGGTAGATCATGCGCTTGACACTGACTGTGATGAGTGACACAGCGGTGTACCTCTCTGGGTTGTCTGTGTCAATTCGAGGATTCAGACAAGCTAGGGAATCCCCAGTTCCTTTACTTGAGGGTTTCATAATTGTCTGTTGGGGAATTTTGTTGTTTTGATTTTTTGTTGTTTTGTCTTAGAATTCTTTTACTATTTATTTAAACATAAAGATGGACGAGTATTTTTTAAATGTCTTTGGGGGGTTATTGAAGAAACATACTTTTTAAAACTATGCTTTTTATATTTGAATGACTTCAGATACATTTCTGAACCTTTTAGTGTTTCTTCCATGTCTAAGTCAATAAGAAAATTTTATCTTGTTTCTAATTGAAAAAATACTACATGAACATGTTTATAAAAATTCACTTGTACCGAAGAGTATGTAATAAAAAATATCTCTTCAAAAAAAATCTCTCTTCTACCACAGACCCTAATCTGCCTCCCCAGAGGCACTATTCACTATTACCAGATTCCTGAGTATCATTCCAGACATTCTTTATGCATATATATAATAAAATTTATTTCTTTTATTATTATAAACACAAATGTGATTATGCTTTTGTATGCTTCATTTTACTTTATTCATTTATTTTTAAAATTTATTTATTTATTTTTGGTTGCGTTGGGTCTTCGTTGCTGTGCGTGGGCTTTCTCTAGTTGTGAGCGAGAGCTACTCTTTGTTGCAGTGCGTGGGCTTCTCATTGTGGTGGCTTCTCTTGTTGTGGAACATGGGCTCTAGGTGCGTGGGCTTCAGTAGTTGTGGCACGCGGGCTCAGTAGTTGTGGCGCACAGGCTTAGTTGCTCCACGGCATGTGGGATCTTCCCAGACCAGGGCTCGAACCTGTGTCCCCTGCATTGGCAGGCAGGCGGATTCTTAACCACTGCGCCACCAGGAAAGCCTGCATGCTTCATTTTTAATTTTATTTTCTTAACAGTATTTATCTTAGAGCCTCTTTTTTAGCACGTGTAAGTCATTCTCATTTTTTAAAAATGGAGATAAAATTACATGCAGGGAAGGAAATACACATGTTTTTAAGTGTACATTTAAATTATTTTTTCCTTATCTGTTGTGGAATAGTTTACATACAATAAGATGTATTCATTCCAAGTGTAAAATTCAGTGAGTTTTGACAGTTGTATGCACCTGTGTCATCACCACCATAATCAAGACACAAAACATTTACATCACTCGCAAAAGGTTCTTCCTGCCCTTGTCATCCATCCCTCCCTCTCCCTCTATCCTCAGGCAACTGCTGATAAGCTTTTTATCATTATAAGTCAGTTTGCATTTTATTTAAATGTAGTCATACTATATGTATTCCACAACAGTATTAAGTAATAGTAGTAACTGTAGTCATATTGAGTCTTTAATTCTTGACGTTAGTAGAAATATTTGTAGTTTTGCAACCTTAATTATGATAAAGGTTTTATTTTGAGATGATAGTAACCATAACTTAATTTTTTAATGAATGTTTATTTCTTTTTTCTTAATTAAAACAATTAGGAATGGATGCTGAATTTAATCAAACTCTGGATAGTTTCCTGACATTTTAGGAATTTTACACTGGTATCAATGAATGAGATTGGTGAGGGTTTTTTTTACTTTTGTTTTTACCGTCTTTGCTGTTTTTTTAATAACTTTTTTCCCTTTATTCTGCAGTTCACATATGAGTCCCAGACTGGTTTCTCTTCTGGCTTTGTTATTCTTTCAGTGCCTTTTGTCAACACAGACATTTCTCCCAGTAGCATATGCAGTTTGATCCGTATCCAGTGAGTACACGTAGGCCTTCAAAGTTGCTGGTTCTCCAGCATCAGAACCTGGGTCCTCCTTTTTGACTGCACCCATGTCTGTCTGTGCTGGGACTCTGCCGCCTTGGTCCCATCACCCTTGAGGTATCCTTAGGCCAGGAATGC